CGCTGATGACCATGAACTTTCAATCAATAGCGTCATTTTCAACTTAAAACAAAAGATATCTCCCGGTAATGTATACGCTGTCCCCCTTGCAACAACCGCGCATTCACGAAATAAAAGTTATCAGCGTCGAATAAGTGGACAATCAAAAAATTGCACACCTACCGGCGCTTGGTCTTTGCCCACGTGGGCATGGGAAACGACGGAGCGGTCGCCAGCTGAGGGCTTTATTTGTGGTCCACTGTTTTTGTCAGGCAAGCGACTCCGGTTACGCTCAAGGACCTTAAGTGAGAAAATTTAAATGAAAAAAATGTTGAAACCTGTTCGTACTTCCCCGACCGTCGTTACATGCTTGTACAACGCGGAATGCAGACAACTTAAAAAAGGATCTCGTAGGTGAATAAACCCAGCACAGTCTTGACAGTACGACCGGAGACTTGCACAGGAATCTTTTTAAAGCGAAACCAACGTTCGCATCATCTACATCATGCAGCTTCTGCTGTGAGCCCTTATCTCGTGACTGTGCGACCGGATCGACTGGCATTAGCCTGAGCCAGTGAACCAGGATCCGGTCTCACAACAGATTCAAGAAAAGGAGACACCGCAGATGCCTGGCAAATCCATGCTTAATCGTACCCCACGCTCCCTAATCAACAAACTTCAGTTAATCGGGCTTTTTATGCAAAAGGTATAGGGTCAGCGGCACAGATCCCAGTTCCCACGCATGGCCCTGTGTGCGATATGACAGTTTAATCGTTTTTTCCGTTGAGATCTACTGTGCCCTCCGCAGTAGGAACATGCAGGGACGGTGAATATGGTGCAAATTTGTTTTAATTGATAGTAGATTTGCGATGCATTCAACGCACACTCCCTTCTTCCCCCACACTCCAACCTAGGTGTCAACATAAGCTCAAGAAAACCGAAAGTGCGCTTGGTCGCAGTTGACTGACTCAGCGTGAACCACGTATGCACGTGTGCTACCATATATGCACGGCGTTAATTTTGGGGCGCAACCCAAATAACGTCTGCCTTGCTGTGATCTAACCCCGCTCGAGAGGTCCAGCGCATCTATTTCTTGGTCTCTTTAAGGACCAGATGCTGAAATGTAGCCCTAGAGGTTGACTATCTTTGAAAATAGGTAATGATTTCAATAAATATCGTTTTTGAAGAAGGTAAAAATATCTATGAGAGAATATCGCATGATAAGAGTATGCATCAGGCAGTTCTGAGTTTCTCAATTTCCATTATTAGGATAAATTCTAAATTGTTATTCTGCTTACGTCTACGTGTGGCTCCTTTAGGGTGAAAACTTATGTCAGTCAGAACAAGCGATGACTGAAAGAAGTGCGAGGAAATGAAACAACGCTTACCTCCTCATACGCAGTCATCGGCGAACCGTCGCGAGCATTAGTTGTGTGTTCATGGAATCCGGCTGCGGACGCATCCCCTAGCGGAATGTTACCAGCGGGGTCCATATGGGACAACTGTTGTCTGAGATTCTAAGAAAACGACAAACAAGTGAAGTCGGTACGCAAAGTTTTGAGGATCTCCGGTTGCGTACAGCATCCCCAGGTCTGCGTGCAAAGGTGGACTAGGTTAATAACCAAAGGAAATTAAGGAAATAAGAGTGTTATTGTAACCGAGAATGGTCCAAATCACTCGCTCTGACTCCAAGAGAGACGCTTCATGTATGTTATGTTCGCTCACTGCTCAAAACGCTGATGACCAAGAACATTCAGGTGACGGCCTTTGAATCAATAGCGTAATTTTCAGCGACCAAAAAGGATATCTCCTGGTATTGTTTATGCTCTCCCCTTTGCAGCCACCATGCAATCGCGAAATAAAAGTTATCA